TCACAGCCCACGGTCCTCTTTGCAGAGCGGAGCACCTTGTTTAAAGCTCTCTTTTCTTTATCTGTGATGTTTCCAAACCACAGTCACCAAACCAGCAAACTTTCAATGGTGCAGCGATAAAAGATAGGCGGGATCTTAGAGTTAGTGGTAACTTCTCTATGTTTTTGCAGAAAGTAGAGACGCTGACGAGCTTTCTTAACGACTCGGTCAGTGTTTTTAACCCATTTCAGGTTAGACAGAGTTAAACTTGCACTCCTCTACGATCTGCACCTGGGAGTTGTCGATAACAACAGGCGTGTGAGAACTATTGCGACTGAAGTCGTAGACCAGTTCACATGTTTAGGATGCGTTCAACTGGAGGTTGTTAGTTTGACTCCACTGAACCACATTTTGTATCTCTGCTCTATAAGAGGATTCATCAGTGTCACTGATGAGACCGATGATGGTGGTGTCATCAGCATATTTGATGATCAAGTTTGAGTCAGAGGAGGACACACAATCGTGAGTGTACAAAGAAGGAGATCCAGTGCTCACCGAAACACCATCTGAAAACAGCAATTTTCACTCTCTGAGATCTGTCAGTTAAAAAGCTAAAAATCCACTTGCACATGGCAACACTTAAACCGAGAGACATGAGCTTTTCAATCAGTTTACCTGGGACAAGGCAGTTAAAAGCAGAGCTGTAATCAATGAACAGCATTCTCGTGACAGATTTACTAGTGTCCAAGTGACTGTAGACAGAGTTCAGAGCAAAGGAGATCGCGTCCTCAATGCTCCTATTCTGTCTGTAGGCAAACTGGAGCGGGTCAAAACTCACAGGGATTTGGCTCTTAATGAGCCCAGTTTCTTAGGAACTGGGATGAAGGTTGACTCTTATCGGCACAGAACAGTTCCTTAGCGACAGGTTGAAAATGTCAGTTAAAACAGATGCAAGTTGCTCGGAACACAGTTTCAGGACACGAGGAGGGATGCTGTTCAGGCCTGGGGATTCCCGGACTGTGGTCCTGGTCAAGACACGCTTGACTTCCTGCTGAGTCACGGTGAAGGCACCTTTATTGAAACAATCAGGGAATACAGCAGGACAGGCAGATTCAAAGCAACAGTAGAACGTGTTAAGCTCATTTGGCACAGCACATGGTTTCCAGGACGTGATGGCTTTTACACCAGTCCACATGCGGCGAGGGTCATCTTCCTCAAAATAACCCTTTAACCTGTCCCTGTAACTGTTCTTTGCAGATTTAATGGAATGTTTCAATGAGTAACAGGAAACCTTGTAAGCAACTGTATCATTTGATTGAAACGCCAAAGCCCGCTCATGAAGTTACAGTTTCACTTTCCACGTTCATCCATGGGTTTTGACTGGCTCCAATGCAGTTTGTTTAGAAGCAGGTGCGCCTTTGAGCTTTAATGTTTAACAGATAAAAAATTAAAAAAAATGTTTTTACCAGCATATTCCTCATTTACAGGAAACCCTTTGCATCTGTTCTGATGTGGCCAAACACATGAAGTTGCACATTTTTAATCCAGGCCTTCCATGGGTTAAACTTCCACTTAATTTTCAATCAAGATCGCAGATTATCTGTCCCCACTCTGCTGAAGTGGACTCAATCTTGGACTGTGAGTCAAGTAGAACAAGGATTTCTCCTGCCCACGTCTCAATCACTGCCAAATGTCTCTGCGCCAGCGTTCTCTTGGACTTTACAGCTAAATACTAGTTGCTCTCCTCCTGCTTTGCTCCAAAGCAACTGAGGAAGAGGGCAATAGGTCAGAAATACATGGGCTGGATCCTCTGACCTGGTTTGAGCAGCTAAAGCGGTGGAGCATTATAAACTGTGCTTCTGACAGAGGCATTTCAAGTGGAGAGCTTAGTCCAACCATCATGGGCTATGTCATCAGATCTAATACATTTTTTTTTGTTTGGATGTTTTTTGTGTGTTTGGGTATTATAGTTTGGGGCTAAACAAGCTCACATCTCAAGGATCTGATTCATAGGATTTTTGAGGACAACAAATCCTAGATGACAATTATGGTTTAAATGATGCTATAGGCAGACGAAGTATGGACACGGTTAGAATTGGGGTGAAAAAACATTTCACTTAATATGCTGGAAACTCAACATGTGCATGTGCTTTTATTGGTGGCATGCCATTAACGATGCACACTGAATGTTCAAACGCAACGAGAGCTTTCACCACCACATGTCTATCTTCCATTTACTTGCCTGCTACACGCTCCAGATTACCGTCAGCTTTGTATGTTTGCAGCAGATCACTGAAATATTGGATTAGAGTGAAATTTGTCTTGCATTTCAAACAAAAGCATTATGCTGAGTGAGAAGCATAAAAAAACAACTCTTCTCATTTGAAATATATTTTCTCATGAGTTTCAGACCACATTGAGCCTATCTTTAAAAACCCAATGAAAAGTGTGTGTCTCAATGTGGCAGAGATGCATTTATATTAAGTTCAGCTATACCCAAAGGAGCGAGGAGAATGTTAGTTATTTGTTTTGCAGCTCCATTAAATAAATGCATTATTTATGAAGCCAAATACCCAGAGAACCTTGTTCAAATGTTAGCTGGATGTTGAGATAGGGAAACTGGTGAATCATTTCCCAATTATTTCCGTGTTTATGGAAGACTGCTCTCCATAACTCCACAGCTCAAGTGAGAGGCAGAGACAGACAGGATATAATGTGGTGGTAATTTATGAAGCCAGAAGAGCTGGTAGAAGACACCAGTTATGTTGGCAATGGAGCATTTTACTGCCAGGCCTTGATACTGAGGCCTATCACTATTCATGCGCCTTAAGTAACCATTTAAATGCATTGGGCTTATCGTTCATGAAGATGCTCAAACATACACTACAATGATTCCACTTCAGTCCGTGTCTGTGCCGTATGTTTCAAGGCAAATATAGTTTGATGAGAGTCTCAAACACTTATCTCTTGCACACTCAGCAAAGCAGCATACATGAATAATTATGATGTTTCCTCCAGAATAAAACAGAGAACTCAAATTAGATACAAAATTGGGGGCAGGGAGCTATAGCGCTGAAGTAAGATATTATTGTATGGACAGGAGTTGCAAAACCAGGGGCAATATAGGGCTGGAGGTGGGCCACAGAGACAGAGATAGATCAGTTCTGCATCCCACATCCATTCACATATAGAGCGCCTGCCACTCTAGGCCCTCAGGTGAGACATGATGTACTATGCCAGGACATTGGTTCTTCTGTGGCGTTTCCATGTTTCAAGCATCTGCAGTGAACGTCAACTTTTTCCTCATTCAAAAGCCGGTAAATGTTTGCTTTTGAAGTGGGGATTTCAGGAACTGTTAATCACTCAAAGACCTTACTTGCTTGACTTTTAAGTGCATCTGTAACTAAACTGCTCCAGCTAAATTTGAAAAGAAAGTATATTTGGTCCACATATAAGCTGCACTTGAACAAAAGCCGCAGACATCTGTATCCTGGTCACAACATGATGTATTGACAAGGTGTTTTGGCGCACTGTTGACTGTTGAAGCTAAAGGTAAATAACACACCGAGGTAAACATTAGCTCACGTTATCATACCAGTCTATTTTGACAATAAATGTGGATTGGCGTGTGTAAGCGCACTTCAAAATGACAAAGTTATGAGTGGTCAGCATGGTCTTTTCTTTCCATTACAGTGGTCACAAGGATGTTATAGGATCAAATATCTGAAAGGTTTCTTCTGCTTCTTTCTCTGAGGGACCTTCTCACCAGAAAACATACAAAACACTGTAGACAAAACCGTCTTCAAAAGTTAAGACGAATTTTTGCCCACTCTTGCAGCCACTGGGTCACTACAAAAGTATTCAAAAATCTCAAACATGTTGCATACTTCACCGTTAACTAAAAGCATGTATTTATAACTACAATATTAGCAGTGAATGTATTTTTTTTATTATGTATGAGGTAATTGCTTCATATACATTTTTTGAAATCTAACTTTCTTGACGTTGTTATTTTCACACTGAACAAAAGACTTTTGGATATTGACAATTGCAATTGCTATGTTGGTCAGAGAGTAGATATTCTGCCAAAATCGTGCAGTCCTAGAAATAGTGTCTAAAGATTTAGACACATTCAAACACAATCTCTATCATATCAATATTTGTGTTTATCATATTTCCAGTGAAAGGCCATGTGTGAATGAATGAAGGAAGGAAGCATCATTCTGTACCTTGTTTCAGGGTATAGGATACATCTTTCGTCTTTCTTCCACTGCTATCTAAAACGTTGCCTTGGGTCTCGCAAAAAACAAATTTCACCTTTCAAATATAAAATCCATTATGGCTATGGCCTGCACTGCTCTGTGGTATGTTATACTGTAGTGAGAGAGAGTGTAATGTTGCAGAGGATGTGCTGTGACAATGTTTTACAAGATGTACACTGAAACTTCAGCTTGGAACATAAACTTTTAAAATGTGCCCTGAATATTACCCATATAAATCTGGCAAGGATTGACTCAAGGGTTTATAAGGTATACCTTTAGAATGAGTAAACAATGCACTATAGCTTTTTAAAGTGCAACAGTGTTCAATTTCACCTCATATACAGTATAACCCATTCTTCAACAGAATCTGCCTGTCTGTTGTGTGGCTATAGCTTTCACATTGGAGAACTCAACATTAAGTAAAATACATTCCTTGGGGTAACCTAGATCATGCTGCATTATAACGGATCCTATTCATCACATTAATTGCATCTTATAATGTAATTTGAATCGCATTAACAAGGATTTCCTCCTCGAGTTTAGCTACAGTGATCCCATTTCAATTGATCGTCTGTTCTTGGTTTTCATTACAAACCACTTATCCACTATGCGCTAGAGAGACAGTTGGATTTAACACTAAGGATAGCTTTAGAAAGGAGTATTAAGTATTTAAGACCAAGGAGTGGTGTAAAAATGCCATGAAAGGATATTAATATTTCACAATGTGTTTATAGTGGAGGTTGTTTTCTAACTGTTTACCTCAAAGTGAAGCTTTCCAGGGTAGAAATGCTGGCCAAGAAAATGTAAAATGTGGCAACATCCGTGGTCTTGAGTGGTTTGGATGATGTCTGAATGACTACGGCTCCTCCCAGCCGCAGGCGCAGGTAGGTGGGGTTTCCTGGTGGTGTCCTGAGCAAGGTGACGCTCCCTATGCGCCTCATGGGAGTCCCGGAGCCCTGCAGAGCTCGAGCCCGGCCCACCCACAGTCTCTGCAGGCTGTCCTGAGGCGTGCACTGGCCTGTCAGCTCACTGCGGCTCTGGAAGTACACCTCAGCCTGGTTCCCCTGCAGCCCGCGCCCTGCCTCTCGACTGGAGCTGCCTGAGCGGCTGGAGGAGCTAAACCACAGCGGCTCTGGCTTCAGTTGAGCCACGCAGAAGCCTCCAGGAGACACTGAGCACGCCCCGCGGACTTCTCTGGTCTCCCAAAAGGCGTATGCGGTCACACAATGAGTCTTGTCTCTGTCCACGGCTCCACTATAGTCACTCCTGATGTCTTCTGCCACAGAGATGTCCCCTTGTAGCGACATGTGGAACAAGATCTTTACCACTGGAGAGGAGGAGCGCACCTGACGTGTTAAAATGAATGGCTGGATCTTGAACCCACTGAGAAGCAGGTTTGGAGGAATAGGCGCGTCGACAGACAGTGGTCCGAAGAAAGCGTTCACAGCTGGCTGCAGGGGCCTCTCATTGGAGCCAGTGATGAGAAAACTCTGGGACTGAGACTTGAGGCTGGAGTTCACAGTCTCCTCTCTGTCCTGCCGCACAAACACATGCTCCACGTGGCTCACGCCAAATCTGATGGATGGGTAAATCGGAGATGGCAAGCTATCTTTTACCATTTGGCCTTGAGACACTGAAAAAAAAGAAAACAATCATTAAAGGTGATGTCACCAACTTAATTTGTATTGTCATTGTCATTTTTTTTCCAGTATTAATTTTGTTGTGTAAAAATCAGAGAGTAATTAGCGAATCAACTAGCACTGAAAAAAGCTTGTCATTAAAAGGCGATGCCGTTTTCATGCTGTGGTGGAATTACAGTGATTAACTGTTTTATATTTAAGCCATCTGGATAAATCCTGATTAGGCCTGTATTATGATTCAGCTCCTTTGTAATTATATCAGAAGACCAGTCTAGACAAAGAGTTTCACAAGAGAAAGCGAAAAACTCACATTCAGTATAAATTGTTTTGATACAACTATTCAGAAAAACAAAACTATATAGAATAATCTGACTTCATGTGAATACATAATGGTCTATTGGGATTATGCTTTGTGCTCTGTGGCTATTTCTTCTCAACATTATGAACACTTTTGGGGTATAGTTATCTGATTTATTGGTGGCTCTACACTCAGCATATTAGTGCGGGGCTCGCATTGTGAGACATTAATCTTGCACCTATGGTTTATTCGGGATAATACAAAGGAAACTAATAATCAGAGGATTAGAAAAGGACAAAAAGGAGAATGATGATTATTGATTCAATAACGTTGGTTTAGTAGCTGCAAAACAAAAAAATAACGTACTGTTTTAAATGTGTTTCTACATATTAGGATGTTTACCACGTGGTGAAATATGACACATTTTACAAAATGTTGCAAGCTTGTGAAAATATTCTGTGCATAAGAGTTCTGTTTGTTGTACTTAATGGCTATAACAGTTTTGCTTCCTTTGTTATTCATGACTTTAAAACTTATTTCTAAATAAAATATTTACCTTTAGTAGGGAAAAAAAAAAGTTGCTAACTCCTAAAGACTAAAACGCAGAGACTAAATAGCAGAGCATAAACATTGTGTATGTTATGTATGTACAATATAGATTGTATTCTCATTACAGATTCTTTATTTTTTCTTTGGACCAAAGACAGTATTGTTGCATTGGTGGACACTGTCTACATTCAGTGCTAGTCTAAGCTTTCAATAAAGCTGGAGCCCTGGCCTCTTCACTGCCATTTGAGCGCAAATATTGATTATTCACATTGTACAATAGGGCACGCAGCTTTTAGCAATTAAAAGTAAGTTGTAAGTTGTTATATTGCTCACTATGAGATCGATAAAGTCTATCTTATCTTATCTTATATTGTAAATGCTGACACAGACAATATGACATTGTTTCTACATTGTTTAAAATTAATTGTTGTCTAAAAGTTATTTGTCAGTATTTACATTTAGCATTTTTCGGGCCTCTTGAAGGCTTTGGGGCTCTTGCTAAATCTGCCAACATGTAAACTGCTGTAAACACATTATTTATAACAAACTATGAATTCTGCAAACAAATACTTTTATCTCTGTTTCTATGTGTTTGTGGTTAGAGCCTCGAACTGGCTGCTACATGCAGAGTGCATCTGAGACTGGGAGCACAGGCGTGTGTGCCTGCAGGCAGAGCACAAATCAAAGCTTTAAATCAACATATACATTATGGACATGCGGACGCAGCTGGACCCTGACCTGGCATCCACAACACACAAAACAAGTAATCTCTAAAGCACTGTTTTCATATCAGCCACGACAGATTTCAGAGCACTAATGTAGTGGTTCTGAGACAGCAGCTGGACCATGTCTTTGCCTTAGGTCAAATACAATAACTACACTACTAACCCATCATGCGTGGGTTAGTAGTGGGTTAGTGGTGATTAAAGATGATCGGATATCCTTCCACCATCCACTTTTTTCTGCCTGGTCACAAGGGCTGGAGGAGGTCTGGGTGTCTCTGCTTAGACTACCCCCGTAACCCGGCAACGGATGAAACTGTTTGTGTTCGACACAAGCTTCCTGAAATAATGGCAAACCATGACAGAACAATGCAAATGTGCACGTACATAGCATGCATGTAACTTCAGTTATTTTGATTGTAAATTTCTAACATTTGTTAAACTACTGAGTTCATTCAAAGGAGAAAATATTAGATATTAGGACACATTACAAAAATAACTAGTAAGTCCCAACACATGGGGTCATCAACGTGAAACAATCACGCAGTTTGATATCTGTTTGATGAATATAACTCAGGCTACTGTTACATGAGATTCCTCACCACCATTATTGTTTCATTTACCCCGTGATTATTTAAAACCCCACATTCATGCAACAGTCGCCTTGATTTTCTCTCCTTGTAAAGATCAATGGCATTGTTAATTCTGTACCATGTACCACTTCACATCAGCATGACGTATGGTAACTTGGATATTTCATAGTCTCTAGCTAATGCACTTGTTTCTTTGAGCTGAAAAGTGAATTGCCTGAATAGGATTTACTGAAAAAGTTATTTTGGCTGTAACATGTCCATCTCCATAATGTAAGAGCTTCAATTTTGTGTTCAACTTTCTTTAATTACAACAGACAATTAAGCTTCAATAGGTGCAGAAACACAAGATAAGTCGTTGTCCATTCATCATTATTACTCCCTCACCTTCAGTTGCGAGGAAAGCCCAGAGCGCCAGGAGCAGAACCAGATACAACCCGTGCGTCATGTCTGCAAAGTAGTACAAACTTTCCGTGCACTTTAAAGATCTGGATACATGTCAGCTTCACAAAAGAACCACAGCAGCTACATAGTGCTCCGATATTGTGCCGTATCCGCTGCTCTCTGATCACATCTGACAGCGAGGACAAGCGGGATCAAGTGATGTGGAAAGGTATCGATTGTTTAGGCCCTGCGGCGATTCCTCTGGTGCGTCCCGCTATCATCCAAACTGGCTCCGGTGTTTACGCGCAGCTTCTGTCTCTGTCTTTTGCTACCGCGGGGATGAAAATGTGTGTGTTTCCTCCAGAGGCAACCCCGACCTGAGCTGGCACGGCGGACAGACTGCAGACCACTTGAAACCACTCAACATGTGGCGCATCCGTGGGATTAAGAGCGTCCACGTGGTTAGAGTGCGGTAAATTAAATGCACATGAGGTCAAACGGATCAGTGCTGTTATTCTACGGCTGACAAGAAATTAAAGCTGGGGAACCTACGTTTTCTCTCATTAAAAACGTTTTATTTTGCATCGTAACTGTTTGACACTTTTCGGTGGATGTTGTAGTTCTACAGTTGAAGTCACATCGATGACAGATGAAGTAGGTAGAGGAGAGGACAGTGCTCGAGTTACCATACTTCTCAAGTAAATCTCTATTTGCAGCTTCAATGACAATATGTGTTTTTTGTGTTTTGTTTTTTTAAGTGTTACCTGAGTCGTACCTACCAAATATGCTGAATTAAAATGACTGTTTTAACACTTGCCTTTACTGTAGACTCTGTGTCTACTTCGTGGATTGATTAACGCGATGTAAAGTGTATGATTGTCTATTAATTCTAATAATTATTCCAACATGAAAGACATATAACATTTATTTCTATGGGACAATCATACATATGTGATAAGTGCGATAAGTGCCTTTTTATACCTTCCCACTCTCTGGATAAACACAGGTAAAAGACATGGATGTAATGTAAACTGTAGACTCAGCATTATTAAAATTCTAAACCCTATACAATTTACAAAAAATTGCCCAAAACAAAATAAGATTTTTACAGATTTAAACCAAACCTAAACTGTCATAAACTTGCCCCTGCACCCTTTGCATTGGTCTGACCCAAGAAATCTTATAAAACAGATGTTTCCAAAGAGACCCTTTCAACACCTGGACACAAGTCACAGGAGGTAAGTTTCATATGTTCACTAAAAACTCTATAAATGAAACCAAAACACACACATATGCTGTGTCCAAAACGGTAGGCATCGGGCCGCGTAGGGTGGATATGTAGGCATCGAGGGAAGGCCGCGTAGCCACAGGCGAGGTAGGAGGCGAGACGTGATGTGGATTTGGACAGCAGCTGCCTTCTGCCTTCGTCACGTGACTACACAACTCCGAGCGGAGCGGAAGGACACGGCGGCCATGATGGACGGTAAAAAGTTCTAAATACGCTTTAATTAGGACATAAAAGTTAATTCTAATATCATTTGAGGCGAGAAATATCCCCCTTTATTGTCATATCAGAAGTCTGTTTGGAGATAAATTCGAAAATTTTCGGACTTTACCTCCAGCCTGAAGCTCCGGTGCTATAAGCTAACAGCCCAGTTAGCTGCAGTGCTGAAGCCCAGAACAGGCTGTCTAAACACGGGTTCAGGTAATGAGAGCCCCCTGGATGTTTACAATCGTATTCTGAAAAAACAGAGGATGCTTTTGTTGTTACACTTTCTCTGTTATAACAATTGTATTGGCAGTAATCATTAGTTTTTACAAAGTTATATTTTATGTAAACAATGCACATATATGCAATAAATGATTATTAGATATGGATTATATATTTGCTATGGCCCTCGTTTGTGCATCACTTAAAAGTAATTTTATCAGAACTAAATGTATTAACGTGTGTTTGCTGATGAGAGAGAAACATCCATTTATCTATAATAATAACTGACACATCCATTTATCTATAATAATAACTGACACATCCATTTATCTATAATAATAATAACCGGAACATCCATTTATCTATAATAATAACTGACACATCCATGGATCTATAATAATAACTGACACATCCATGGATCTATAATAATAACTGACACATCCATGGATCTATAATAATAACTGACACATCCATGGATCTATAATAATAACTGACACATCCATGGATCTATAATAATAACTGACACATCCATGGATCTATAATAATAACTGACACATCCATGGATCTATAATAATAACTGACACATCCATGGAAACATTAACAGACATCTGTAAAATGAAGTTGAACACAGATGTTTGACACTGCTCTTATTCACTTTTATATCTCTTGAAAAGCAAACAGACCGTTACTAATCACATTTGAGTTTAATGTATTCAATTATAAGTATAAGTATAAGTACTGCTGACAAATGGGTAGTTGTGTAAATAATACCTCACTTTGATGACTCTTTACATTTCACACAAACAACAAAATCATAATAAAACCAACAAGTTTGATTTTAGTTTTCTTTATTTCCAGGTTCTCTGAAGTGCTGTCGATGAGACCTGTGTCAGAGGCAGACACCCAGGACTCTGCTGCTGCTCCTGCTGCTGCTGTTACTGCTGTTACTCCTCCTGTTACTCCTCCTGTTACTCCTGCTGCTGTTGCTCCCTCTGCTGCAGCTGTTACTCCTCCTGTTGCTGCTGCTGCTGCTGTTGTTACTCCTCCTGTTGCTCCTTCTGCTGCTGCTGTTACTCCTCCTGTTGCTCCTTCTGCTGCTGCTGTTACTCCTCCTGTTGCTCCTTCTGCTGCTGCTGTTACTCCTCCTGTTGCTCCTTCTGCTGCTGCTGTTACTCCTCCTGTTGCTCCCTCTGCTGCTGCTGTTACTCCTCCTGTTGCTCCTGTTACTCCTCCTGTTGCTCCTTCTGCTGCTGCTGTTACTCCTCCTGCTGCTGCTGTTACTCCTCCTGTTACTCCTCCTGCTGCTGCTGTTACTCCTCCTGTTGCTCCTTCTGCTGCTGCTGTTACTCCTCCTGCTGCTGCTGTTACTCCTCCTGTTGCTCCCTCTGCTGCAGCTGTTACTCCTCCTGTTGCTGCTGCTGCTGCAGCTGTTACTCCTCCTGTTGCTCCCTCTGCTGCAGCTGTTACTCCTCCTGTTGCTCCCTCTGCTGCAGCTGTTACTCCTCCTGTTGCTCCTTCTGCTGCTGCTGTTACTCCTCCTGTTGCTCCTTCTGCTGCTGCTGTTGCAGCTGTTACTCCTCCTGTTGCAGCTGTTACTCCTCCTGTTGCTGCTGCTGCTGTTGCTCCTACTGCTGTTGCTCCTGCTGCTGTTGCTCCTGCTGCTGCTGCTCCTGCTGTTGCTCCTTCTGCTGCTGCTCCTGCTGTTGCTCCTTCTGCTGCTGCTGTTACTCCTCCTGTTGCTCCTTCTGCTGTTGCTGTTACTCCTCCTGTTGCTCCTCCTGTTGCTCCTTCTGCTGCTGCTGCTGTTACTCCTCCTGTTGCTCCTTCTGCTGCTGCTCCTTCTGCTACATGTCTTCAGAGATGCAGAGCCCACTGTTCTAACTATTCATGACTGGTGATTAAAGGAAAATATTATATACAAGTTTGTTGTAGTTCATAATGTTTTCAGCAGTGAAGCAGGAGGTGATGGAGGTGAAGCAGGAGGTGATGGAGGTGAAGCAGGAGGTGATGGAGGTGAAGCAGGACGTGAAGCTGGAGAAATTATGACCTTAATTTCACCACAAGTCTCTGAAAAAGAAGAACACAAACATCATGCATTAAAACACAGCCCACATTTAGGATTCTTTTTACACTTCATATTCAATTAATACTATTTATTTGGGGCTTTGCAAAAAACTGGTTAAAAATAAAATACAGAAATCCTTACAGTATTTAATATTAGAGGTACAAGCTTCACAGCAGGGGAAACAGAAGAATGATATGATAGAAATATACACAAATAATCAAGTTATGAGCATGGCTAACCACTTTAAACCTGTGTTTGTGGAAGTGGGACTTTGTCCTCTGCAAATGTCTTAATGACAAACGAAACCTCTGTATAATGTGTGTTTACTATTTATTAGACTATTGTATGAAAAGGGCTTTATAATTATTCTTGGCCTATTCTATAATTCCATATGTCTAATATATACAGTTTTCCCAGTCTCAGTATGGGATTAAAAACGATATGCACAATCTATTTTATATGAATACAGAAAACATGTGTTAGCATACTATAGCTGCTGTGCTGCAGAGTGATTTTCCATGAAAACGTGACTATTTCCTCAGTGTAGCTTTAATATTTAATCAGTGGGTTTGTTTCTCCCTAAAAGATAAAACACAACATGATTTTTCTTGTTCAAAAACCGAATCTGAATGAACTAGCCTCGTAGCATTAGCTTTTCGGGACTGAGCTTATTTACAGCAGATAACAAGGTTAAATACACACATCTGTGGCAGATCTAATTTATGTCTGTGTTTTATCATAACAGTCGTGTTCATAACTCAACAGTAAAGTATAGCAGTACTTACTATAGACATAACTTCACAGTAAAGTATAGCAGTGCTTACCATAATGTTAGCTCCAGCAGATCCGAGCTGTTGTTTACATGTTAATGCCGAACGGAGTTCTGCGCATGCGCGGCCGTGACTTGGCAAAAAGAAGGCAGCGAAGCATACATCAGATGCATCCTTCATATCTGCTCCAAAAGTGGCCGTTTCCATAGAGACGAAGTCATGATGCCTACGCTTGGCGAGCTCGCCAAGTGGTTTTGGACACCCCTGCAATAGCCGTCGCTTGAGGAAGTGACGTCACGATGCCTACATATCCACCCTACGCGGCCCGATGCCTAGCGTTTTGGACACAGCTATAGACTTCAAACACATGTTAAACACAATATTGCATCTGCTCAATGAAGGAATTTACTCTTTCTTATTCCAGGATAAACAGATTCAATTAAAGATGTTTTGAAAAGTGTAATGTGTGATTAGGGTGTCTGTATTTTAAAGTGCCAAGTGAAGGGTTAAAATATGGTGGTTTACTTTGTAACAAACATTCGTGCTATCTTTTGTCCGCATATGCAGTGCCTTGCGAAAGTATTTGGCCCCCTTGAACCTTTCAACATTTCGCCACATTTCAGGCTTCAAACATCCATCCATCCATCCATTTTCTTCCCCTTAATCCATTTCTGGGTTGGGGGGGTGGCAGTCAGAGCTGCACCCAGTCAGAGCACCAGCCCCTCACTGATCCTCCTGCAGGTGGTGAGTCCACATGAGCTGAGATCTTTTAGTGGGGGCTTCAAGCAAAGTGGGGTTAAGTGTCTTGCCCAAGGACACAACGACAGCAGTCATCAGTGGGAGTCGTGAAGTAGGTCTTGAGGTGGGCTCGAACCTACAACCTTCAGGCTCTAAGGCCAATGCTCTACCAACTGAGCCACTGTCGCCCCCAATTTTATTTTTTGTCATGAATCAACAAGTGGGACACAATCGTGAAGTGGAACAAAATGTATTGGATAATTTAAACTTTTTTAACAAATACAAAGTGGGGCGTGCAATATAATTGGGCCCCTTTACTTTCAGTGCAGCAAACTCAGTCCAGAAGTTCAGTGAGGATCTTTGAATGATCCAATGTTGTCCTAAATGACTGATGATGATAAATAGAATGCACCTGTGTGTAATCAAGTCTCCGTATAAATGCACCTGCTCTTTGAGAGTCTCAGGGTTCTGTTTAAAGCGCAGAGAGAACCATGAAGACAAAGGAACACACCAGGCAGGTCCGAGATACTGTTGTGGAGAAGTTTAAAGCCGGATTTGGATACAAAAAGATTTCCCAAGCTTTAAACATCTCAAGGAGCACTGTGCAAGCAATTATATTGAAATGGAAGGAGTATCAGACCACTGCAAATCTACCAAGACCCGGCCGTCCCTCCAAACTTTCATCTCAAACAAGGAGAAGACTGATCAGAGATGCAGCCAAGAGGCCCATGATCACTCTGGATGAACTGCAGATAACTACAGCTGAGGTGGGAGAGTCTGTCCATAGGACAACAATCAGTCGTGCACTGCACAAATCTGGCCTTTATGGAAGAGTGGCAAGAAGAAAGCCATTTCTCAAAGATATCCATAAAAAGTCTGGTTTAAAGTTTGCCACAAGCCACCTGGGAGACACACCAAACATGTGGAAGAAGGTGCTCTGGTCAGATGAAACCAAAATCGAACTTTTTGGCCACAATGCAAAACGATATGTTTGGCGTAAAAGCAACACAGCTCATCACCCTGAACACACCATCCCCACTGTCAAACATGGTGGTGGCAGCATCATGCTTTGGGCCTGCTTTTCTTCAGCAGGGACAGGGAAGATGGCTAAAATTGATGGGAAGATGGATGGAGCCAAATACAGAACCATTCTGGAAGAAAACCTGTTGGAGTCTGCAAAAGACCTGAGACTGGGACGGAGATTTATCTTCCAACAGGACAATGATCCAAAACATAAAGCCAAATCTACAATGGAATGGTTCACAAATAGACGTATCCAGGTGTTAGAATGGCCAAGTCAAAGTCCAGACCTGAATCCAATCCAGAATCTGTGGAAAGAGCTGAAGACTGCTGTTCACAAACGCTCTCCATCCAACCTCACTGAGCTCGAGCTGTTTTGCAAGGAAGAATGGGCAAGAATTCCAGTCTCTCGATGTGCAAAACTGATAGAGACATACCCCAAGCGACTTGCAGCTGTAATTGCAGCAAAAGGTGGCGCTACAAAGTATTAGCGCAAGGGGGCCGAATAATATTGCACGCCCCACTCTTCAGTTTTTTATTTGTTAAAAAAGTTTAAATTATCCAATACATTTCGTTCCAATTCACGATTGTGTCCCACTTGTTGTTGATTCTTGACAACAAATGTAATTGTTATATCTTTATGTTTGAAGCCTGAAATGTGGCGAAATGTTGAAAGGTTCAAGGGGGCCAAATACTTTCGCAAGGCACTGTATATGTTGATTGGAGTTATTTATTAACAAACCATGCGTTTTCTTTCACAGTTGTGGAACTTATGATCACATGACCTCATATTCTTCTCTTTTATTTGAATGATTTACAGATGCGTGTATAATTAGTGTGATGTGTCTCGGCCACAGATGTGAGCTACAGAAATAGCATCAAGTAACTTTTTGTCCATTTATAAAAACAAAATTATTCACTCACACTTCATTTTCAATTTGAGGCGAGAGAGCGGTGCCAGATGTCAACGTTCTGAAACTGTGTGTGGGATGGCAGATGGAGGGAGCAGACTATTCATTACACAAGTGCCCAGAAAAGATCACCAGTCTCCACCTCAGCATAGTAAAAACTTCTTATTGAGAAGTCATATTGACAGCTTGGAAACATTCTTTATGTCTATTTGCGCTGTGTTTTACAATCAAGGTCAAAGCGGGAAAGCAAGAAGAAGTGCATTGTTCTGTAAGTAGATATCTAAACAACCCTATGCCAAAGAAAATTCACAGATTGCTTTTATTTATAAGTAGGGATAAATTATCATATTTTCCTTTTGTTACTTAGATATAGTGCATATTTGGTACTTAAATAAATAAAATGCATCCCTGAACGTCCCCAATGGCAAGAGAATGGCAGCTTCAAATGAGTGAGCAGATGTAACTTTACTTCCACTCAGTGGTGGACCCTAAGGGCCAGCAAGCGCTTCTGCTGGCCTAACATCAGGTATATATGATTTAATATAATAATATATTTTAATATTATATATCATATATATATGTATATATAGAGATTTATTATTCAATCATTATTCAGCATTATGACACAGTATAAATGACTTACAGTCTATTTATACAAATTGCGAGGTGCAGCCGATGTTCTCACAGCTCTTCAGACAAACTTTGCACATGTGTGAATACTTTTAAAAGTTTAATCTAAAGATTGTCCAATCTAAAACCTCAAACAGACCATCACCTTCTGTATGAAGGTTTTAATGTTGGCATGATACCATTTTCATAAGTGTATTAATTTCCGCTAGTTTTAGCATGATTAACAACAGAAACACACTGAGTGATGCCAGTGGATCTAGCACGCCTAATCGCCCCAGCTTCTGTGCTGCCAGGCTTCTCCTCCTGATACATCCACAGCGGTGCGGCTCCTCTAGGCTTGTGAAGTGGTGCCAAAGGGTGACAGATCGGACGAGCTTTACAACTGTGACAGTGCCGATTTTATACGCAGAAAAAACAAATCAATAAAAGACATTTGTTGTTTTAGGCGGCAAAGACGGCTTTTTTCCAATAAGGGCTGTGCAGACATTATGATTATCTGATGATGACTGTTAGATAAAAATATATATATATATATATATATATATATATATATATATATATATATATATATATATATATATATATATATATATATATTCCTCAAAAGGAAATGAGCACATAGAGCCAAAATTATAGGCGTGAACTAACAAAGTGCTTACGTCACAATAACATGGAAGAAGCCGATTCAAGCTTAATCTAGGTGGTGCCAACTCCCTTATATGAGCCTTTTTTTCCGACAGTATACTGCTTTGAGCTGTACTCTGGGGCTAAAGCAAGCCATAGTTTCAACTATTTCATACCTTGATATTCAAAGACAATATCAAAAGAAAAGGATCACGAGGAGCCACAGATGGTGAGCACTTACCAACTGACCTTCATTGAGCAAGGGGGTTAGCATTGTCCATCTATGTACAGTCTGAGAATTTGTGACGCTGGTCAAAACATAAACAAATATTCTTTTATGACCTTGAGTGCAAGAGTCATCTCCAGCTTGTGTTGTGGCCATTGGCTGTTTTATTACCAGAGCCAAGGTGATAAAGTGTAATGCATCACCAGCGACTAAACACTTCCCCCATGGCAGCACAGACCAATGAAAATAAATAGTCTCCTTAGAGAAATATTTAGGCAGCTCTAAATGCCAATAAAACTCTCAAGGACTAATAGAATGTGTATTTACTCCAGGGACTAATGTGATTTACTATAAACCCCAGCAAGTGTTTACTGTGCATCGCCGTCTTTGTGCTTCATTTTGAGCACTTTGCATTTTGTTTTGTTTTTTGGCTGGCTTTGCTTATTAGCGCTGACAGAGGCAGAGGCCACCGACTATTCAGGGCTTGGAACCTGTCCAGATCGTGGTTGTTGTTCCAGACATCATGCAACCTGCTGCTGGCACCATTAGTCAAAGGGAGCAGACATGACAGAGAGGAAATGCTCTGAAATTACACTGTCAGGAGCTCGAGAGCATATAGGGCTTTTGTGAGAGCCAAACAGGCGAAGACCCAAATCAGTGCTATGATTTATTCGTTCAATTTACAGATGAAGCGCTTCTTCAAATTGTGAAAAAAAAAAAAAACAGATTCATGTCAAGAGAAAATAATAATTTGAGCCAACCCATATGTAAAGTATACACTCAGGATATATGTGTTTGTGTTGTTGCATCTGCACCCAGTCACCCCTTACATTTACCGAGAGCTGGAGAATGTTACTTTGAAATCACAACAAATAATTATATAATAAAATCCATGTAAATAGTTTTCA